CCCCAAAACCCCAAAACCCCAAAACCCCAAAACCCCTAATATATAAATATAAGTTGAAAATTGATCATAATATAATAAATATGAAAGCTATTTATATTCTAGCTTTGTGTGTTACACTTGTGATGGCAAAGCCAGCTGATGAGATTGTTAAAGAGTTACCTGAAATGGGAAAATTCGATAGGTTTGATATGTACTCTGGATATCTTGAAATTCCAAACAAGCAACGCAAACTCCACTATGTCTTTGCTGAATCCCAAAATGATCCAGCTACAGATCCTCTTGTCATCTGGTTCAACGGTGGACCTGGCTGCTCCAGCATGCTTGGGTTCATTCAAGAACATGGCCCATACTCAATGCCAGATGGTGATCCAAACTTCTACGAAAACCCCAACTCCTGGAACAAAGAAGCCAACATGTTGTACATTGAGTCACCAGCCGGAGTCGGATACTCATACTTCTGGGACAGAGAGACCGACTCGTTCGACGATCTGACATCCTCCGAAGATAACTATGCAGCTCTGGAAGCCTTCTACGAGAAGTTCCCTGAGTATCTCGACCACGACCTATTCATATCCGGCGAATCTTACGCTGGGATTTACGTGCCTTATCTGGCCTGGCAGGTCATTCAGAACGGGTTAAAGTACAATTTGAAGGGAATCATTGTAGGAAACGGTGTTACCAACTACACTCATGATGACGGAGCCTTTGAAGGAATGAGCTTCTGGCACAATTTGTACGATTTGGGCATTTATGACCAAATTAAGGCTAATCACTGCTCTTTTATTAATATTGAAGGCTTTGAAGATGGAAAAGAAAATAAAGAAGAATGTGACAAACTTCAAATGAAGTTCTATGACTTGGTCAGCAATATCAACATCTATGATGTCTACAGAGAATGTTTTTATGATGAAGGAGTAGACAGACTTGGAACTGCCAAAATTAATGGAGAACTAAAGACTTATAAGAGAGGAATGACTGCCCAAGAATATACTCCTTTCTTATTTAAAAATAAGAAAGATTCATTAAACATTATTCCTCCTTGTGTATATGGATCTGGACCAACTGACTTCTTAAACAGACAAGATGTCAGAGATGCTCTAAATGTTGAAACAGATCAGCCTTGGGAGCTCTGTGTCGGAGAAGACAGATTAGAATATGAGGGTTTCGATAAAGCTTCATATTGGATCTATCCAATTTTAAAAGAAAATAAGATTAGAATAATGCACTTCTCTGGAAATGCTGATGGAGCTGTACCAACTCAAGGAACAAGAGCTTGGATCAATTCTTTAGGATGGCCAAAGACACACGAATATGCTCCATTCTACATTGAAGATAAACAAGTAGGAGGATATGTTGAGTCAAGAGAAGGTCTCACCTTTGCTATAATCATCGGAATTGGTCACATGGCTGCTCAGTGGTCACCAGTTGCTACAAAACACGCCGTGTATCAATTCATCAAAGACTTGCCAATAACCGATGCGAGCCCAATAACTGCTGAATTTTAGTTAAATTCAACATCTCCAAATATCACGGGGTTTTGGGGTTTTGGGGTTTTGGGGTTTTGGGG